GCGCTTCCCCGAGCGGCGCCGCCGCGGAGCCCGGGGGCCACCTAGCGCTGCTGCCACGTGCGACCATTTTATGTCATTACTGTTATTAACACTGTTTTACCTCAGGTTTGGCTTCCAGCCTCTTCAGGCCCTACACAACCTCCCACAGCAGCAAGCTCAGGGAGTCCTCTGCGTCACAACAAGCTCCCGGCCTGGAAGAGCCTCGCTGCACGCTGGCATGACCACAGCCAGATTTAGACCAAAAACCAAAAAATACAAATGATTCTCTTGCTCTGTGTGTTGACTTTTCTTCTTAGATAGGTTTATCTCAGTCCGAAGTAGATCTCTACCCCAAGCAAAACACAAACATCACGTGCTGAAATCTTTAAAACGAGTGACAAAGTATTTCTCGGTATCTGAAGGTCTTCTCCAGTTGTCTCCTTAACAGGCTGTTTCCAGAAGTAGCAATGTGGCAATCTGATACTATTAAGTAACATCTTGAAGTACCTCATGCTCTTGCATTAAACTCTTCATCACTTCCCCCACATTTGTTCCAGTTTCGCTCAGTTCTTGCTTATTCAGTGTGATTCTAACCACACTAAGCAAGTCCCAAAATAGTCCTTAGGTGCTTCAGTATGGAAACAGCTCTGCTAGGTTCAGCTGGGGGGTGGCTGATGCGACAAGATGTGCAAACCTCTGCACGGGGGCAACCATCCTGTGTTTGTAAAGCCTGGCCTTTCCAGTCCAAACTCGGGTTGTCCAGCGCCAAGACTATCCATTTGTGCAACGCCTTAATCATTTCCAGCAGGGCAAACTTTGGCCTCTTCAAGGACCTGCTTGGAGGAATCCCCTGGGTTTGTGCCCTAGAAGGAAGGGGGAGGTCAAGAGAGCTGGTTAATACTCAAGCATCACTTCCCCCAAGCTCCAGATCAGTGCATCCCTACGAGTAAGAAATCAGGCAAAGAGGGCAGGAGATCTGCATGGATGAGCAAGAAGCTAGACTCCTTGGCCAAGGAGGATCGGGTTAGAGATCATCTAGGCAACCTTTTTCTTCTCTTTTTTTTTACATTGCTATGCTATGGCAATTCAGTCACAATAATAACTGCAATCAAAGCCATTTCAGACACCTCATTTCTTCACACACACACACACACACACACAAAGAAAAAAAAATGGAGAGGAGAAGAAAGGAGAGGAGAGGAGGAAAAGAAACATCTCGGCTTTGCTCTCATCCGGAAAGCTAGAAAATCTGATGTCATCAGATCTTTTGGGGAGGGTATATTTTGGAGGAGTCCTACATACTGAAATCTGCAGGTTTTTTTTATCTACAGAAGTGATTTGTACAGAAGTTAGTCCTTTGATAGCAACATCTTGTGGAGATAAATAGCAATTACAATGAAGAAAATGCCACTATCAGCTGAAAACACAGCAATGTGCTTTTCAGAAACACTGCCTCCTCTGACTAACATCTGTGGGATTTCTTCCTTTGGTCTTGTGGGAAATCCGCATTGTGGGATGCAATGTGCAGACTTCACCAAACAGAAATGACTCCATATTGTAGGGTTGACTTGAGGACACTTCTTTGTTTGGGTCGCTCGGGACATTCTCCAGGAATCTCTGACAGTAAAAGAAGGAAAGAGCAGCTCTAAAGAGCAAAATGGGAGCCAGGAAGAGAAAAAAGGCTTTGGTTAGGGGCTCTCGATTAGTCTATCATATGCACAGTAGGCTGAAACAGAGCGTATGTGCATGTTTTTTTTTCTCCTGTTTTCCAATTCTCCTGTCAGTATCTGCCTCCTACTTATCAGAAAGAAAACAAAAATGAAAAGGAAGAATAAAACAGAGCCTCTACCCCTCCAAAATCCAACAGCAATCCAGAAACTGAAATAGTTTTATCGCCCCCCCCCACCAACAGGGAAGTTCATCAGTGTTTGCCCGGCTCCTTCCTCGGCATCGCTGAGGACAGGCCAGGCTTACAATGGCTCCCGCGCAGGCGATGACGTTAAGCTGAGGTTTTCTGCTTACCAAACCAGAGCAACTTCTACTTTACTCGTAACGTCCTTCGCCTTGAACTGGGACTATAACACGGTTTCTAGGAAGGATTACATCTGCTAGCTACGAGCCAGCTTCTAGGGAAGGAAGGGGAAGTCTCAGTGTCACCAGTGTCACAGTCTGGAGTGCAAGTCCTCCTTACTCCGGGCTGCTTGCTCAAGATCACTTCCTTCCCATCAGCATGAGTGTCCCTCAGCAGGGAAATACAAAACTGTGCAGGACAGTTGCTTTTCTAAACCTGGACACCATATTACAGATACCTCATCTTGCTCATTCAGAAGGTTTCTGGAGGCTCCATCCCTGCTCCTCCTCCTCTAACGGTTGCCAGTGCAGTAAGTGCACTGGGACACTGCTTGTTTACAGAGGAAGATGCATTGGATATTTCCATGTACAAATAAACATGGAATTTCTCCTGAAGGGATCATAAATCAGCAATCATAACTGTTGATCCACCTACAGAGGGATTGCTTCATCTCCTGCAGCAACACAGCATGAGAAGTTAATTTCCCAATGATCTCTCACTGGCAGAGATCCTGTAACAGTGGGTAGGACAAGACTGACAGTCCCAGCACAGCCCTCCTGGTCACACAGAAATGCAGTTTTTGCAGAAACCCACCACTGGATACAAACAGGCAAATTCTTAAGAGATGCCACACTGGTGTCATCTTGTAGCTCACCATGTACCATCTACCCAGGGACAACAAATACAACGAGTTACGGATCACAGAAGCCTGAGGCGTAACTTTCTTTCCAGGGTAAGCTAAATCCAGTCACCAGACACACGGGCCTCTCCCAAGAACAATGATTCTGGATGTCATTCCCATTCCCACCCACTCTGCAGCGTTTCGGAAACATGCAAACGTGCGGCAGAAGCGGAGCCGCTGCGCACGGAGCCGCTCGCGCTCCCAGCCCGCAGGCAGCGGCAGATGGTGCTGTTGTGTCAGGGACATTTCCCGAGCACGGAGCGGCTGTGCGGCCTCTCCACGGTTTCACCTCCCTGCCTTCACTGGGAGTTTTCTCTGATGACTTGGATAACTAAATCCCATCGCTCACCGATTCCATCCCATTTACACTGCATGATTTATACCATTTATACAAGAGCACTGCTCAGAACTGCCTTTGCAAAGCCCTGGTCGTGCTGAGCCCTGCAGAGCCGTGTCCGCGTGTGAACACTGGATCTGCGGCAGTTTATAGCAAAGCGGACAGGAGAGGACACGAAGCCCAGGGCAGGGCAAATCAGGTGCCCTGTTCCCATGTCGGGCATTACCATGAGCATCAGCAACGCTGATTGGAGACCACATTTTCCATACGACTGATGGAGTAGTGCTGAATAGTCCCAGTTTAAAACTAACCATTAAGACATTTAGTCTGTAAAGCAGCTCTGGCACTAGCTCAAACCTGTTTTGATGCAGGCTCTAAGAACTTTCCACTGACGCTGGAAGCTCCTCTAAGTAATTCACACACACATTAACCGCTCTGATTTACTTGTGAACATCCACGGATCCTTTGGACTAATCAAATGGGTTGCAGACATAACTAATAACTAATAACTGCAGGTTGAAAATCACTGCACCAGTGAGCAGCAGCCAGGGGAGTAACATACTGAGTAATGCAGAGTATCTGTGCTGGGGTTAACACCTAGGAGGCTTGCACATCAGAGCAGAAACATCGAGCTATGAAATGAGGCATCTTTACACGTCAGATTCCCGTTACATGGTTCTTATCACCCCTTCTATGCTCCGTGGCTACCTACGGCTGCTTAGCCAACAGCTCAGGAGCTGTTTGGAAAGACTCTTCCAGAAGCAGCTCGCTAGATGGAGCCCAATTCCAAATAGGAAAAATTCACAAAAATAGCTTCTCCGTGTCCGCCCTCCTGCCTTTCGGCACATGACACCCGTTATCTTGGTGTCCTCCCCTCCAAGGCTAATGATGAAAATGAGATGCCTTAAGACTGCACAGGCTAACTACAAGTTGCAGCAGACAGCGGCCACTTGCTGGTCTCCAGTCACGCTCTCTGTGTCGTGCTGCTGCGTGGCCAGTATAGGTTTTAAAGGTTGAATTTAGATGTGGAGGAGCGCGAGGCGGAACATGGAGCCCCTGCACCAGAACTGCTAAGGTAAAGCCCTCAAGAACCCCCGTTGTGGTCGATGGGCACAGAGGTGGAGCACTGAAACGTCTCCTTCCCCTGCTGCTCCCAGGCCTCCCTGTGAGGTTATGGGTCCCCAGGGGATGCATGAGCGCAAGGCTGCGAAGATGAGGAGCAAACTGCTTGTGGGGACGCACATCCCCAGCCGTCGCCACCCTTGGGTGGCCCTCACCACCTCCCTCCTTCGATAACTCATCATCGCCAGCAGTGTTCATCGCTCTGCTGGCCCCGAGGTGGTAACGAACACCAGACACATGCAGGCCACCGGCTGCCCAAGGGACCCGTGGGCAGATAGGCTGAGGCGGGAGCTGAACCCGCTCTCGGACTGGTGTCCTGCGCAGGAGACCATGCTCCAGCCTCCTCCGCAAGGAGCTCCTGTCCGCCCAGGCTCCGTCCGACCCCATCCTCAGCCAGATCCCATCCACTTGGTTCTCACCACCACCGTGGCCACAAATATCCTTGAATATCCAACCTACTCCTGGCTGATATGGGAAGAATTGGTGTTTTGTGGCCGTGAAAGATCAAGCTATAAAGTGCCTAAAAAATCAAAGGTTCAGGAACTTCAGAAGTAAATGACGTGTTTCCTCTTAGGGCAGCAGGTGTCCAATTCTAGCTTGAAAACACCCTATAAAAGCAGGGTGAAACGGGGCTAGCACCAAAACGTATCAGGGCACTTGGCCGGGTGAAAATCCTCCTTCCCGGGGGATCCGGGAGCTGCCGGGGCTCCACGCGGAGCGGTGCCACGGGTGACACGTGTGGTGCACGGGGCGCGTCTGCGGGGACATGTTAGATCCGAGCCCGAGGAGAAACACGAAGAGAAACCATGAGCTAAGCGCGAATCCAAAGGGATAAAAGCGCAGGTCGGAACGAGGGAGAGGCGGGAGGCGGCGGCCCCGGGCCGGGGCCAGCGCCGCGGGGAGGAGGCGGGAGCTCCGCTCCGCTCCGCGCCT